CCTGCCAGCCTGAAGCTGAAGGAACAAAGGGGACTGGGGCCCTCTGCCACAGCTATGCTAATGCGCCATGAAAGAGGAGATTAAGTATAGTTCCGCACTTCACAAAAAAACTGACTAAACAGGTTCCACAGAATAACGGCTCCTGCTCTGTTTATACTTAATGTATAAATAGACACCCTGACAGACCGGTGCACATTAACCCCTCACTGCCAGCTGCACACCAGCCCAACAAACCCTCTCCCATTAGCTGATAGTGTTTTTCATTTCCATCACTGCAGCATGCCCAGAAGCTGCAGTCACCATGCCGCTGTCTCGCAAAAAGCCTTTTCGCAAGTTTGCATGCAGCTTTAACTGTTTGTGGAAATGCTTCTGCCATCCACACACAAGGACTTGCTTGGTAATCTTTTAGCTTTATGACTGCCTTCCCATCAGTCCACATTTTGTGCTTTTATATATACCCCTGAAACACACCATTCTTATTCTCCTGTAGACTGTGTGCTGACTGAACAATCTCTCAGGCATGATATGCTAGAAACATTCAGGTGAACGTTGTTCAGCTGAACAATCCTGTGTTTTCTAATGTCTTTGGGCCACCGTACCATCTGCATCATGAGACCTGCAATCAAATATGAGCCAAGCATATTGAACTCTTGGGTACTTAAAGGATGGAAGAAATGGCCGTAAAACCTTGCAGCTGTAAATTGTTGGCTGTTTGTGTTATTGAGGGACATATTCTCTCTTATTTCAATAGGGTGGAGAGATGACTGAATATTCTTTAATATCACTATTGCTTTGTGTATGGAGTCTGTGACAGTGCAGCAGTGCCAGTAATCAGGCTGTGTCAGTGAATGGGGCTGTTAAGGGGCAATGGGAGGGGCCTATGCTTATTCCTTGGCTGCTATTGTGCACGAAAACCTGTCCCTTGGGCTCTCATCTTTCTTACTGACGATTGTTCTTGTAATGAGTGCGCTGTGTGGGCGTGGCCTGTAGGGGGGGTGGGGGGGGGCGGGTGTTGGGGTAAGCAGCAGGACAATGGGAGCTGCCAAGGGCTCAGCGGAGGTGGGATGTGATTCTCTGCTGTACCCTCGCTGGGAAGTGACACAATGAGCCCACAGCGTGAAGGCCTGACCTTTAACACACAGTGTCTAGTCACTGTGGAGGGCCTCTCTCAACCTCTCCTGCCTTCTCCCCCCCCTCCCCCCCCAAAAGAAACCTTCCTCAGGGGCATCATTTGAAATGGGAGGATAATGATAGCAGCTGTCCATCTGGAGAAAGACGGAAATGAAGATGGGGTAGGGAAAAGAGGAAATGAAAGTGATACCGATAAGGGTGACATACTTCTGCAGAACTTTATTTCATAATCCTCTTGGCAAGCAGTCTAGGGTTGACTAGATCATGGAAGCTTCTGTGCATAGTTTGTTGTCCTTGAAATGATGAAAAGAAAGAAAAGAAACTATGAAAGACTGAACACAAGTCGGAGGTGCCTGTTTGACAAAAGAAGTCAGAGGTGCTTGTTTGACAAGTCGTCTTGGTCCGTGTCACTCCTGTCATTACCCATCAAAGAGCAGTGGCTGCAAGGCGGTGAATCTCCATCTGTCGTAGCTCAATAATTACCTGACCTTCGGCTGCTGGGACCTTGACCCTAACAAGCAGCACAAGTGTGCCTGCTGGTCTGGCCCTCCAAGTCCCTGATCCATCCCTCCCAGAATCTGCTCCTCCAACATGCAGGAGTAAGACGAATATAGACAGCAGACGAAATCGATGTCCATACTATGAGGTTTTCATCTACAGTTAATTTTATTAGATTCATTTGTCTATCTTCTGTAATGGGTTATTCTTTACAGGACCGAGGTTTAATTTGATTTAATTAGATTTAATTTATCAGATTTATGGGAAAAACAGTGGTTGTACTTGCCACTGGAAATGTACAGTATACTGTGTATGCATGTGAGTGTTATAAAAAACTTTTTGTAGTTTTGAGAATAAGCAATCGTCCCATGTCCCAGAGAGATAGAAAATAGTGAGGGCTACACAGCCCATATAATCCTCTTTGCATGCGACTCTTTCTATGGCCGGAAAAGACAGTGATGCACACCTGACATAAAATGGGAACTAGAAAGGCAATGGAAAGGAACTAGAAATGGAAATGAATGTGCATGCCACCATAAGAGACTGAAAATCCACTGAGAACAGCCAGTACACAAGAAATAAAACAGAATGAATATGCCATAGTCAAGAGAGTAATTAAGACCTGCACAGAGGTGCGTCAGATTCTCTTATCATGGAAAATAATCACTCAAGCTGTGATAAATGCTGGATTGTAAAGACTCCCCCCTCCTTTTCTTATATAACAATCCTTCTTAGGAGGACAATGGAAGGAATACCTGATGGATGCCAACAAATAAACAGATTCATATGAAACGCAACTATATTTATTGTTTCATTAGAAGGAAGTGTGAAAATCTGTGCACCTTGCTGATGTCAGTGAAACAGGTTCTGCTGTCAGTTACTCTGCTCTTCCCCTCACTGGCTTGGCATTGTTTCAGTTGTCTCTCATAAATGCCCCTTTGACTGAAAGTTCTCACATTAAACAATATACTGGCTTCAAACTGAAGGAACAATAGCCACCTGTAAAGATGATTGTTTTTTTGACCTGTTGGTCGAGAAATGTCTATGTTCTGTTTTTTATAGACTCCCTTGAGTCCGATAGGCTTTGGCCTATATATCATGTTAACAGGTGTCCTACCTACCAACTTATCTGTGAGCCGGTCCAGTTTTCCTACAGAACATTCCATTATGGCTTTGATCAGATTATTAAAATCAAGCATGACATTTTATATGGGATGTCAATCATCACACAGTATACAGATTAGGGGTGCATCGATTGCAGTTTTCTGGCCGATCAACGATCACCGATCCTTAGGCAACCTTACCTGCCGATCTCGATTTTTTTTTGCCGATCTTGTT